TAAAAATAAGACACGCTAACTGTGATTAATTTAAGCCCCATTCATTTCAAAGGATCTACACTAAACATGACTCAGTGTACATCAGGTTTTTTTGTTAATTTCCAGATACATACCTATATAGATATGAACAGAGATATATTATCTCTTACAGACCATTTTGCTAGTTTAAATAAAGCACTCATGGCGGCTTATATTTTAAAAACATTACTTAAAAACTAGTAACAAGCTCAGCAGCAGGATCTTATATTTAAAAAAACAGACATACAGTTAAACATGATATAGTTAAACATGGGCACAATCCACCCACACAACATAAGCATATGGATATATACTTACACGGGGCAGAGAATGAGGTTTATCTGCAGCGGAGTATAGGAGGTGAACACAAACCCCTCCTTCCCTGCAATGCCTTCATGCACTGCCTGCAAATAGGTTTCTATGCTCCAGTTAGTTGGGGAGGAGAGAGAATGGGGAAGAAGAGGGCTTTATTGAAGTCTGTGGGGCTTCATTAACTATAACAGGCCCAAGTTAAGACTTCCAAAAATTCATCTAGATAGCATTAGATGGGCTTGATATCTAGCTACAATTCAATCTCACCTATAGTTTGCCTGATTAAACCCTGTGACTTCAACAGCATGCAAACAGCCTGTGAACACGACTGCAGCATATAAAAGCACATAAGCGTCTTTGGGGGAAGGCATAATTCCCCCAGTTCTGCAGCAGAAAGCATGGGTAACGTAAGTTAGACTACTACCACCAAGGTATCCACATACCTCATTACACCATTTTTCTAGATACTGGGATACAATCACAATCCATGGAATGTGGCTGTGTTCCTGCAAATGCAAAATTAAAGTATAGCAAAATAAAGAAATCAACTAAAATAATGCAATTCTAAAGTTGGAAAGCAGGGCTGTTGGGAAGTAGTGTTGCTGTAGAAACTCAATTTATAATGCAACAAAAAATAGGTAAATAAACAGAATTGCCTTCAGTAATCGTCATTACAAAATAATTGTTGAATAACCCTTTCACTTTGTGTGATAGATCTAAAGAATTTAAACAGTTTCCTCAGTTCTAAGGGTTTCCATTTGATTTTGAAAATCCACAGTTAAAAGTAGAGATTCATAGCTCTGTGCTGGAAAGTCTCAACAGAGCCAAATGTAGCCGTGCATCTTAAAGAAATTCAAAGCATTTTAGATACTTTTGACTTATTTAAGCATCTTGGCTGGCTGCCTCACCTTGAAATTATGCTGGAAGTGTATGGAGAAGGCAAGTCTGTAATAATGGAGTTTGTTCAAAAAGCATGCTTGGATTTGTTTTTTCCTAGAACGAACAGACTTCACCCTGTACTGTACGAATTTCTATGTAACTTCAACAAGCCATTCAACATAACAAAATCAGATTTGACATTTAACAGGTGAATCCACTGACAATCTCTAAATCAAGCCCCATTTTCTTCTCTGAAAAGAATGTCCTTTGTATGTAGTAAATGGAGCATATAACAGAGTTCTAGAACGAATTCAGGAACCATCTCTAAAGCCTGTATGCACATACTGAGGGGTAGGCCAAGCGTACCAACCTTTTTCTCCATATTCTCTAAATCGTAAGATTGAACGTGTTCTCTCAGCTCTGGAAATGGACTATCCAGTCTCAAATCATCCAATGCATTATCTGGGTGAGATTCTACAACTATTGAAACATTAAGCAACATTTTAATTTTGAAGCCAAAGCTGAAGATAGCATTATTGCTAAAGTTTGTGGATTCCATCAATTTTTGCTACTATTATTATGAGAAATGTCATTATGTAAGTTGCCCTTGGAGGGCTTTTCTTCAGAAAGATGACCTCTAAATATTTTAAATAAACACAATTATTATACATGAATTTGTAAATGATGTGACCTTCCCTGGCTACTTAATACTGCTTCCAGAGGTGATAACATACAATGTAAAATCCCTAAGAAAAAGCATACTACAAGGAGTATTTCAAGTCAGATTTCAAATTAATAATTTGGAACTGATTACATTTCCTGTCTTACAAGTTACTAGGCTAATTTAAAGAATCAGCTAATCTATTCTTTATAAAACAAATCTATTTCAGTATGCATCTTTTCATTATGGATGCAGCTTCCTAAAACCAGCCACATCCAATTAAAAGACAGTAATGAAAGTAGAAACTTTTCTACTTACCATTTTAATAAATGGTTACATAGGCAGGGTAATGTTTAATCACTAAATATTTTAGGTGGATTTTTTTAACAATGGCATGTTCTTTAATCATGAAATATCTTACCTGGATGTTCTTTAATAACAATTCTCATATATCCTATTAATCCATAAGTCCTACAAATTAATAGAGGGATGTTGTAATTCCAGAGGACATCAGCTAGCCTGAGCAGCGTACTGAAAAACAGAAGATGTACAGCCAAATTCAAAGAACAATGAACAGAAAATACACAGGCACTAGAATCCGCCTGCAAATATTTCTTTGGTGTATACATCTATAGGTCAACCTCATACTTCAGCAAGCTCTTGAACAAGCAAGAATATCTTGTAACTGAGGTCCTTTAGTTTGTAACATTCTAATATTTTATTTCTTTATTTAAACAATTTAAATGATTTCTACTTTTGTTATTGTATATGAAACAGCAATTATTTGAAAGACATGTTATATCTGGATGGCAAGAGAGGATGGAATCACACTTACAAATCTCTAAGAAGGTTGCAAAATTGTTATCAATAGCCATAGCTGTTAGAAACTGTCTGGTTCCTCCTTCATGCTATTAACTGCTAGCTGCTGAATGCTTTAGGATTTTCTTGTAATTTGTAGTTATTGTATTATATGCTGATCTTTTATTGTGTTTGGTCTTGGACCATAAATAAATGTTGACTGACTGATCACACGAGTTCAACAAAATTTCTCAAATACATTCTATATGATTTACCAACACAAAGTGCTAAGCAGTATCTTTCCTCTAGCTGTTAATAGTACACAATCTGCAACAGGGGAGGAAAACCAGCCAAAGACAGAAAATGGAAGGTCATAATTTCTCCCTTGCAAATTCTAACCCTATTCTTTTTCACTGACCAAGCAACTCAGATTCAGATAGAGTATAAAATACAGAAGTTCTTATACTCAACAGGTAGGTCTGAATATAAGCAGAACTCCAGGCAACTGCAAATCCCACTTTATCATTGCCTGTAATCATGCAGAAGCCGAGTTCCCACATTATACTAACCAACAGCTTACTGAATAAAGTCCGATAGCTGGGTACAGACACAGATCTAAACCACAAACCATGTTTTATAAACCATATAATCGTTGGATTCATAAATGCAACAAGCTAAAACCCAACAACCTACATCATGATTTAGTGCTGTGTAAATCAGCAAATCACTGTACTTGTCTTTAAGCAAACACATGCAAAATTCCCCTTCAACCTTTTTGATAGAACATCCCACTGACAGTTTTGATTTTTGACCTTCATGTATTATGAAGATCAAAAAAAGAAGCTTGTCTGATCCACACTCACACAATTACACAGCTAATGGGACACTGGAATGACATTTAACATCACATTAAATCAAGTATTATTTGTTTGGTTTTGACTTGGTGTAATGTGTGAACCCAGACACTGTGGCTTAATTAATAAACCATGTTTGAACTGAGGCAGAGATGTAGTGAGTAAAGGGTAAAGAAAAATAACCACTTATGGAGATGATATTCTGAAAATAAAAACATACAATTTCCATTTTTACAAAACAAATGTGAAATAAAACATATGTATATAAAAACAATGATATCAATTTCCTTCCCGCTTACCTTTCTGGGAGTTGAGTTGCAATCACTACATTAAACCGACAGAAAAAAGAAGGATCATTGTCTAGAAGTTTATCTGGATTCTTGAGAAAACATAAAAAACACCCATCTGTATTGCAGCATAAAGCAATAAATATAAAAGGATTCAAAATTAAAACATCCTTCCCTAGCTCAGTGCAATTCTTCATGAACTGCAAATGTAATTTTAATATGTACAATAATCTAAACTCAAACTTTGTCGCCTTCTAAGTGGCACCACATGCTACAGGCAGTTCTGTCCGCCAGCCCCCTATGACTGGCATACATCACCTACATGGGAGAGACAAGAGTCTCTTCAACCAAGACTATTCTAGCGTGGCTATTATTAAATTCACGTTAGACATTAATATGATAGATTTTGATCAACATATTAATCACTGCAAAAGCAGACCGTTGTAGGAGTAAATTCATGTTGCGTATGATATCAAATCTTACACATCTTAACTGAGATTTGTTGCTTGAAGTGAGAAAAAGGATGCTTTTTGATATGAGCCTACACTAGAGCAAGATTTGATATAATATTATTGTAGTGGTAATATGTAACTTAGTCTTACATACTTTTCTGACTTGTTAGCACATTAATGGGTATAAAAATGTTTAATGCAAACCTCTTCCACAAAATTTCCAAAGACATCATTATTCAATTCTTGTAGCAGTTCTGTGGTGCACTGTGCTCGATTCTGTTTAAAAATAATAAGCAGATGTGTTATATTGCTATGACTGCCATAAACAGATTTAAAGTTTTATCCTGACAGATGAGAATGTAAATATTCCAGAACAAAAAAACAAAAACAAAAGAACAAATAATATTACTACATTTAAATGAACATGCTGAAACTGATGGAACTTAAGCCAGCCATAAGTAATTTAAGCCCTACTGGTTTCAGCGAGCCTATTTCAAATATGCCTCAGTCTGGATCCAACTCAGATACTGCACTGAGACCTTTCAATAAACAGGCACAAAATTATGTTGCATGTTACATTTCCAAACTAAGGATTTCTGGGTAGATATAGTTTTAGACAGCTTATTACATTCAGAGAGAGATGAATAAAAATGCTTTCATAAAAATTAATGGGAGTCCTGAGGCTACTACTTTTGAAAACATAGATTTGTGTGATTTGAGGTGTATCAGAAAATGACCAGCAATGAACAGAGAAAGCTGGCATACAAACTTATGCAACTGGGAAAAAAAGCTGCTTAGAGTTTTGTTCAGAAGAACACTCGTATGCAAATGCACATGGCTAGATCTTCGTTATGAAATAATCAGAACAAATCATTTGTAAAGGGTTTCATGTGCTCCTACCTAAGCAACCTGCTTATTTGTATCAAAGCTATCTCATAGAAGTGCATGAATTTAGGCTGCAACACATATTTACTTAGGAATAAGTTCTAGCAAAGGGGATCACTTCTCTATAGATATGTATACAATTGCCCTATACTGTATGTTTATTATGAAAGGGAAAGGAAAAAAATATTAATTAAATGGATCCTATGCACTACATAATCACTCACATAAATAAACACATTTAGTATTTCCTTACTTGACCAATATTGCTTCTTTGAAGGAAGAAGCTAAAAAAGAAGAAATAGTTCCTTTAGAATGTTATTATAATTACAATGAAATTTATAATGAAAGAAAATCTATGTGAACAATTCACCCCATAGAAAACCTCTATTACATTTTTCCTCTCTAAAGTCTTCCAACCTTTTTAAGACTTGCTTGAAATCAATACATCTGAATATGTTTTCTCATTTGTAGATTCACATAAATAAAACCTACAGTTCCATTTACACAACCACAACGTTTCAGGTTTAGTCTACACAGAACTCTACGTTATTCAAAGATGTACAACTTAACATCCCATTTGTCTTTACTATGCCATTAAAATGGTGTCAAAGAATGAGGTGAACAGTGGCATATGAATATTGACTAAGGTTCAACACGGATATGTACCTGAAATGATCAAAATCAGTAAGCAGCAAGGGTCACATATCAATGCAAACTATATTTACAGCAGCAAGAAAGCATTTCACATCTTTTTGCTCCATATTCCCACTGAAAGAGTTTGAAATTAACCTGAAATTATCATTGTTTTTACCAACTTTAAAACATCAAGAATAGGCAGACAACACTGAGTCTATTGATGATCCCTCCAGTTAAACAATATGAAAATGCAAAAAATGGCAATCTACTGTAGTTCACGGAGTAACTGGAAAAAAAAATACCCAAACCCTACCTGAAATCCACATAAATAATTGGCACCCCTATTCATGTGGTGCATATTTGTTTATCATTTAGAAAAGACAAACAAGCCTTTTACAAGAGGAATCTATGCAGCTGCAAGCATATCCTTCTTTCTCTTTCTATTGAACTTACACTATGCTTTATATGGTTCCATAGCTTATAAGAGGAATATTCAATGATACAAATATTACAAAATATTTGTAGAAAACACATTACCTGTTTCCAACATCTTCCCCAGTGACTTGATTCCCATCTACAATTGTAAATGATCCAATACCTTAAAGAAGAAACCAAGTCAGTGATCACACTAAACTACAACTTTACTGAGGCAATTTTTTTTTACAGCTTTTAAAAGTCATTTGTACCTGGTAGAACTAGGTTTTTGAGGACTTCTGTTCCGGTGGCTGTTGCAGTTATCACACAAACATGAGCAGATTCTAAAGCCTCTTGTCCATGATCACCCCATAACCTGCAACATGAAGACAGAAATAAAATGATGACCTCCAAGACAAAGGATTAAAGAGAAAGCTATATGAAAGTGATGCACTATGAATGGTTGCTTTAAAATGTAGTTAATAAAACTACTTCATTAGGCAATAATTTCTGATTAAAGGCTTTAAAACATAAGAGAAATAAATGGATCAAAGGATGGATGAAAAGGGCAGACTTGAAAATGGGACTGAACTAAAAGAAGCTGAATTATAA